AGGGAAGGTGTCTGGGGTGAAGTGACCACTTAGTCAAGAGGAGGAAGATGAGTGAATTAGATGATAAGTGAATGTGCCAGCCTCAGTAAGACCTTGAAGTTGGAAAGATCTTGGCACATTCTGATAGAGAAAAATAATTTATTTATTTGATTATGGGTGAATTTTAAAAGATTATTATAAAAATGAAACCACAGGAAATTCCTGGGAAATATATACAGATCAATTTCTGACCATTTGATAGAGGGTTTTCAAGACTATGACTGAGATTCAACTATATGTCATACAAGAGGTTTTTTGTGGTTTGTTTGTTTATGTTTATTTATTTATTTGACTGCACCAGGTCTTTCTTAGTTGTGGTGCTCGGGATCTTCTGTCCTCATTGTGGCATGTGGGATCTTTAGCTGTGGCATGTAAACTCTTAGTTGCCGCACATGAGGTCTAGTTCCCTGACCCAGGATTGAACCAGGGCTCCCTGCATCGGGAGCTTGGAGTCTTAGTCACTGGACCACCAGGAACATCCCAAATATCTTGTTCCAGAATACTTAGAATTGGGTTCCTCTGGGAGACTGGGTTTTGCAAAACAGTATTGGAGGCCTTGCTTGATGTAATCAATTGAGCCCTATCTTCATTCCCTATTGTGTGTGTGTGTGCGTATTAGTTGCTCAGTCAAGTCTGACTCTTTGCAACCCCATAGACTATAGCCCGCCAGGCCCCTCTGTGCATGGGATTTTCCAGGCAAGAATACTGGAGTGGGTTGCCATTGCCTTTTCCCTGTTACTCCTATATTAAACAAGCAACTGGAAAGTGCCAGCCAGGGCCCAGATGTTGCAGGAGGAGGACATGGCCAAGGACAAGGAGACACATTCACCAGAGAAGTCACACTCAGGAAGAGACAAGGCCCGTAGAGTTCATGGGTGAGTATGGGCATGGCAGAGGGTGCTTGTAAAATCCATGTTAAGTGTAGAAAATAGTCTCTCTCCTAGGAACCTGCTGGTTTCCTGAAAGGCCTCATTTACATGTTTCCAATCTGTTAGTTACTACTAACAGTGGTTAATAAAGGTCACAACAAGAAAGAGATTTTAAGCCTAAATACCAGGAGAACTCCACCTCATACTTTTCTTAGTAGAAACAACGCAGTCTAAAGAAGGATCTGTGTGCATAAAGTATATAAATAAACCCAAACGAATGTTGAAAGAATCTGTACATAATTTTCTATAATAGTAATTCTGGTGGAGGAGCATCTATTCCCACAAGCAGATTCCATCTGAGAGGCTTCATATAAGACTATTCATGGTGATAAATTTTCTAACGTTTAACTCTGTTTTCATGTTAATGAATCTCTAGCCAATGAGTATGGCTCAGATCCAGGAGAATGGTTAGAGAATGATTTGATTTTTTAAAAAGTCTTTGTTTATATATTTTGGCTGCACCAGGTTGCAATACGAGGGATCTTTAGTTGCAGCATTCAAACTCTTAGTTGTGGCATGTGGGATCTGGTTCCCTGACCAGGGATCGAACTTGGGCCCCCTGCATTGGGAGCGTGGAGTTTTAGCCACTGAACCACCAGGGAAGTGGTGAATTATTTTAGGAACAAGAAAAGGTTAAACATACCAACTGATGTCAACTAGCTCCTTTCTGCCATCTATTTTCATCTGTTTTCCCCTTAACATTTCAACATTATCTTTTTTAAAATGTCCTCACTGTGTCTGCTACTCACTGAGATCCAATGACTTGCACTTTATCAGGTCAGTGCTCTTGGCTTCAAGGAACAGAAAACCCTGACTCTGACTTAGACAATAATGGAATTTATTATTTCACATTAAAGGATATACAGGCTTGAGCAAACTCCAGGCATAGTTCAACCATTTACTTCAATGATGTCACCAAGTACCCAAGTTCTTTCAATCACTTCCTGTTCACCCTCTGTGAGTTGGCTTTGCCCTGGGGCTGGCTCCCTTCATGGCTGAACCATAGTTGTAGCAACTTCAGGTATTATGTACACATATGACCCTATCTGGGGTTTCCCAGGTGGCGCTGGTGATAAAGAACCTGCCTGCCAATGCAGGAGACATAAGAGACGGGGGTTTGATCCCTGGAATGGGAAGGTGCCCTCAAGGAGGGCATGGCAACCCACTCTAGTATTCTTGCCTGGAAAATCCCTTGCACAGAGGAGCCTGGCGGGCTACGGTCCATAGGGTTGCAGTCAGACACAACTGAAGTGACTAAGTACGCATGCACACACATGACCCTGTCTATGGGGAAAGAGGGACGGACTGTCCCTTTCATTTTTGGAAACAACATTGCTGTGCTGTAATTCGCACCTCACACCTTTCTTTTATCTGAAGTTTCTAGTATATGCATAAAACTGTGCAACTGTCACCACAGCCAATTCTAGAACAGTTCATCTCTACCCCCAAAAGGCATCTCATACCCATTGACAGTCATTTTCTATTTCTCCCTAATCAACTCTAGCCTCAGGCAACCTCTAATGCACTTTCTATCTCTATGTATTTGCCAATTCTGATTGTTTCATAGAAGTAAAAACCATACAATACATGGTCTTCTGCCACTGGCTTATTTCACTTAGCATAATATTTTTAAGGGTCATCACCATGTCTTTCTTGAATGTCCCCTTTTAAGGAGAACGAAGCCTTTCCTGAGATCTCTCAGCAGACTCCTTAGACTCTCTGGTCTAAATTGAGTTAAACGATCGATTTCTAACGGAAGCACTAGCAATGGAAGAGGAATTGCGATGAGTACCTTGAAGTGATATAAAGCAACTCCCAGCAACAGGGATGGAGTCGTCTAGTCACCTGCAAAGTTGTCATAGGCTGGCAGGGACTGTGAGTGTGAGAGGCGGATACCTGAGCAAAAATTGGTTCTTATTAGGAAAGACAAACGGGGAAATGGATGACAGATAAAGAAAGAAAGTCTACACTGCATTAGATAGTACAGCGTAATTCCAAATGGAGCCAGGAATCAGTGGTGAAAAAGGCCGCACTTATCTTGGGGATATTTATTCTACCGATCTTCTTTTCTTCCTGGCTGTTTTTTCTGCATCTGTAAGTTTCAGACGCTCGGACACCACGAACGTCCTATTCCTGTAGGCTTACCATGGCCGCTGCCCCGTGCCACTCCACATACCATGCCTGCCACAGGGCCTACCATCAGGTTTAGCCATGCTGACCCACGGACAGGGAAGCCGAAGAGCTAATGAGAGGTGAGGCCACAGAGTCCCCTCTCCAGGTGGTCAACAGGCAGAGTTTAACATCCTACCCTTGCTGTTCCAGCTTTATGCAGTTAATGTATACAACCGAGAAGGAGGTTGAAAGTATGAGAACATTCTGTATATGCACATGCGTGCATATCTGTATATCTTGTCAGAGAGTAGTTAAAACGTGAAGCCACCTTAAACCTTGAGTCTCTCCCCCTTGATTGAGTCTCATGTTCTCTCACTCTTTTCCACAGTAGGGAGCGATTCTACTGGGCACGTAAGCACTTAAATCCCCAGGGATTTGTGAGTAAGCAAGGCTCTCCTGCTTCCTCTTACGCTATGTCTGAACAGAGGTCATCTCCCTCAAACATTCTTAATAACAGATTTTGCGCCAAGAGAAAGTCATCTCAGGATTGGTTTTGGACTAATGGGAAGCTAGTGGGTTTCCAAATGGTCTGTCATTGTGTTAGGAAAACAAATTTTTTTTAAATGTGTATTTTTTTTATTGTTAGTTGATTAACAATGTTGTTAGTTTCAGATGTACAGCAAAGTGCTTCAGTTATACACATACTTGTATCTATTCTTTTTCCAAATTCTTTTCCCATTTAGGTTGTTAGGGAATACTGAGTGGAGTTCCCTGTGCTATATAGTAGGTTCTTGCTATCTATTTTAAACATGTACACACATGTTCATGTCCAGGCTAAACTCCCTAACTATCTCTCCCCATGCACCCTTCCCCTTGGTAACCACAACTTTGTTCTGTAAGTTTGTGTTTTGCAAATAAGTTCATTTGCGTCGTTCTTTTAGATTCTGCATGTAAGAGATATTTATGTTTCTTGGTCTGACAGTATGATGATCCCTAGCATCCATGTTGCTGCAAATGGCATTATTTCATTCTTTTTATGGCTGAGTAATATTCTATTGTCTATGTGTATCACATCTTTTTTATCCATTCCTCTGTCAGTGGACATTTAAATTGCTTCCATGTCTTGGCTAGTGCAGCAATGAACATTGGGGCGGATTACCCTTTCAAACCATGTTTTTCTCTGGATGTATGCCCGGGAGTGGGATTGCTAGATCATATGCTAGCTCTGTTTTTAGTTTCTTAAATACTACAGATACTGAAACATGAGTAAGACTCTTCCAATACTCGGGGCTGTTGGCTATCAGTCTGTGCATACTTCTATCCTCTCAGGGAAAAGATAGAAATACCAGACCACCTTACCTGCCTCCTGAGAAACCTGTATTCAGGTCAAGAAGCAACAGTTAGAACAAGACATGGAACACTGGACTGGTTCAAATTGGGAAAGGAATACTTCAAGGCTGTATACTGTCACGCTGCTTATGTAACTTACATGCAGATTACAACATGTGAAATTCCCTGGCTGGATGAAGCACAAGCTAGTATCAAAATTTCTGGGAGAAACATCAACAACCTCGGATATGCAGGTGATACCACCCTAATGGCAGAAAGTGAAGAGGAACTGAAGAGTCTTTTGATGAAGGTCTAAGAGAAGAGTGAAAAAGCTGACTTAAAACTCACTGTTGAAAAAACAAAGATCATGGCATCCAGTCCCATCACACCATGGCAGATAGATGGGGAAAAAATGGAAACAGTGACAGACTTTATATTTTCTTGGGTTCCAAAATCACTATGGATAGTGGCTGCAGCCATGAAATTAACAGATGCTTGCTTCTTGGAGNCAGACAAATGCCTTCTTTGAATACCATTTTAACCTGTTAAAAGTACCCACCATTACCATGTATTCAGAACAGACACCAAAAGTGCTACCATGCAAGAAAACTTTTATTAACATTTTGAACAGGTTCAGCTATTACTGAAACCGGTAAACAACTTAAACTGGGGTAAATGGCTAGAGTGCAGAACGATGCCATCATTGGGCATTATGAATAGAAGACTTAAGAATTAACAGCCACCCCTCAGACGGAGGACCAGGTGCAGGGTCGACTCTTTCTGGATGTTGTAATCAGAAAGAGTGCGGCCATCTTCCAGCTGCTTGCCGGCAAAGATGAGCCTCTGCTGGTCAGGAGGAATGCCTTCCTTATCCTGGATCTTGGCCTTCACGTTCTCGATGGTGTCACTGGGCTCCACCTCCAAGGTGATGGTCTTGCCGGTCAGGGTCTTCACGAAGATCTGCATACCACCCCTCAGACGGAGGACCAGGTGCAGGGTCGACTCTTTCTGGATGTTGTAATCAGAAAGAGTGCGGCCATCTTCCAGCTGCTTGCCGGCAAAGATGAGCCTCTGCTGGTCAGGGGGAATGCCTTCCTTATCCTGGATCTTGGCCTTCACGTTCTCGATGGTGTCACTGGGCTCCACCTCCAGGGTGATGGTCTTGCCGGTCAGGGTCTTCACGAAGATTTGCATTTTGACCTGTGAGTGAATGCGAAGATGCCTCAAATTCAATCACGGAGCGTCACCTCCAAGAGGACACAGGAAGCCAACAACGCCAGTCGCCTCTAAGTCAAACTTATGGTTTTTCCATTAGTCATGTATGGATGTGAGAGTTGGACCAGAAAGAAGGCTGAGTGCAAAAGAATTGATGCTTTCAAACTGTGGTGTTGGAGAAGACTCTTGAGAGTCCCTTGGACTGCAAGGAGGTCAGACCAGTCAATCCTAAAGGAAATCAACTGTGAATATTCATTGGAAGGACTGATGCTGAAGCTGAAGCTCCAATACTTTGGCCACCAGATGCTAAGTGCTGACTCATTGGAAATCACCCTGATGATGGGAAAGTTTGAGGGCAGGAGGATAAGGGGGCAACAGAGGATAAGATGGTTGGGTGGCATAATCAATTCAGTGGATGTGAGTTTGAGCAAACTCTGGGAGATAGTGAAGGATGGGGAAGCCTGGCATGCTGCATTCCAGGCAAAGAGTCGGACACAGCTGAGAGACTGAGCAAAAATGACAGTACATACTTCTAATGCTCTCAGGGAAACACAGCTTCATTTTATAGGCAACTGAATTCACACTTTCAATGTGTAGTTTATTTCAATATATGCTCAGTCATGTCTGACCCTTTGCCACCCTGGACTGCAGCCCATGGCCCCTCTGTGCATGGGATTCTCCAGGCAAGAATACTGGAGTGGGTTGCCATTTCCTTCTACAGGGGATCTTCCCAACCCAGGGATTGAAACTCATGTCTCCTATGTCTCCAGCATTGGCAGGTAGCATTCTTCACCACTGAGCCGCCAGGGAAGCCCAGTTTCAATTTGTAACAAGTACCATTTATGGCAGCATGTTGTGTGAAGGAGATACACATCCCTACCTTTGACCATGCAGAATGTTCTCCAGGCATGGGTTGGAGGCCCAGGAAAACTCCACCTGGCAACTGGGAATTGATTTTCTGCTCTTTGGGAACCTCACTCAACTGTTAGCAATACTGAACAAAGAACGCAGCAGCAGAAGAGTATAAGCCATGCCCTTGTCTCTGTGCTCCTCCGGGGAGTTCTTTGGCCTCATCTAAGGCATGAAAGTGCCATCGAACCTCAGGGCTGGTGCCCCGCATCTAAGGGCTGTGGTGTCAGACCTGAGTGTCCCTCTCTAGAACCTGAAATTCTCATCATGGCCCAGCAGAGGAGATGTTCCAGGACTCTCCCTATTGAGAGAGGACCAGTCTTCAGTCCTTGACTAATGGAATCAATACCTGCAAAAAAAAAGCGGGGGAGGGGAGAGGGTGGAGAGCAGGAAGCAGGGTGAGGCAGAGGGTGTAGCTGAGCTTTGACACAGCCTGACCGCCTCAGCTGACCCCATGAGGAGCCCTGAGGCTAGAATAACCGTCAGAGGTCTCTTATGTGGGGTTGAATCTGACCAGAAATCAAATTGCCAACATCTGCTGAATCATCAAAAAGGCAAGAGAGTTCCAGAAAAACATCTACTTCTGCTTTATTGACTATGCCGAAGCCTTTGACTGTGTGGATCACAACAAACTGTGGAAAATTCTTCAAGAGATGGGAATACCACACCACCTGACCTGCCTCCTGAGAAATCTGTATGCAGATCAGGAAGCAACAGTTAGAACNATGGTCTCCACCCTACAGGTGCTGGTCAGGGGAAGAGGTGCGAGGACAGAGAATTAGAACTGCCCTCTGGTGGTCTGCCTGTGACCTGCCTTCTCTGCCCTCTCTTACTCGCTAGGATCTATTCACTACATTGTGGATGCTTTGGAACTGTGGTGTTGGAGAAGACTCTTGAGAGTCCCTCGGGCTGCAAGGAGATCCAACCAGTCCATCCTAAAGGAAATCAGTCCTGAATATGCATGAAGCTGATGCTGAAGCTGAAACTCCAATACCTTGGCCACCTGATGCGAAGAACTGACTCATTTGGATCTGATGCTGGGAAAGATTGAAGGCAGGAGGAGAAGGGGATGACAGAGGATGAGATGATTGGATAGCATCACCGACTCAACGGACATCAGTTTGAGTAAACTCCGGGAGTTGGTGATGGACAGGGAGGCCTGGTGTGCTGCAGTCCATGGGGTCTCAAAGAGTAGGACACGACTGAGTGACTGAACAGAACACTGTGGCCAGAGGTGTTTAAAATGCAAACCAGATCACGTCATTCCCTTGACCCTCCAGGTCTTCCCATCCCGTTGCCTATAACGCCGGCGGAGCTCCTTACTCCCTTGGCCTGTCTCGCCCACCTTTCCGCCTTCACCCCTGTCACCTACTCCTTAGTTCTCTCTGCTTCACCCACTCTGGTCCCTGACTTGGTAAACTGCCTCAGACGTTACCGCTTTTGCCCTGATTGTTCCCTCCCTTAGGCTCCTTTCCTCTAGATAAGAGGACCTTGCTTGACCTGCTCCTTCTCGCCTTCCGGTCTCAGATTAATTGCCCCTTACTAGGAGAGGCCTAACTTAAAATAGTTCTCTCCACCCACTCTCGATCACCTGTTTTCGTTTTCTTGTGTACATGTTTAGTGGCTAAGTCGTGTCGGACTCTTCGCGACCCCATGGACTGGAGCCCGCCAGGCTCCTCGGGTCCACGGGATTCTCCAGGCAAGAATACTGGAGTGGGTTGCCATTTCCTTCTCCAGGAGATCTTCCCGACAGAGGGACTGAACCCAGGTCTCCCGCATTGTAGGCAGACGCTTTACCGTCCGAGCCACAGGATGGAGATCAAATAAATGTTTGATCAAAACCCGAAGACAGTCCCCTGGCGGCGGCGGCCCCTGCAGACCGCGCCCTCCTTGCGCGCCAGGAACCCGCCGCGGAACCCGAGGGCGGCGGTAGCTGTTTCCCTTTAAAGAGCGGGGGACTCTTAAGGGAGCACACAGGAAAGGCAGGGCGGCGAGCGGGACCAGCCGTGGTGAGTGCGGCGGTGCTGGCGCTGGGAGCCGGGAGCGGGTTTCGGGGACCGTGCAAGCGCTGGCGCGCTGGACTCGGGGGTGTGGGGCGGGGCCCCGGGGGCCGGGCCTGGGTGGCCGCTGTCGGAACGCGGCTGCGGACGGAGGGTGTGGGAGCGAGGGCCGGGCGGAGCGGCACTGGGAGAGCTCCGAGCATCGGATGGCGGGGGTCCTGTTGCCACTGCGGGAGGCACATGTCCTGGGCTCTGGCCCCAGAGCTGTCGCTAACCTGTGCGACCCTTTCCTTTTCTTGGGGACGAGGGTAAGGTGGGGGGTGGGGTGGGGAGAAGAGAGCGATTCACCTAACTTATTTGCAAAATAGGGCTACTGTTCTCTGGTCGGTTGATTCATTCATTTTACCTGCGTTACTAGGTTCTGTTTGTTAGAACCTGCTCTGTGAGGGTTCAACGTCTAAGGAAAGCCCCACCGTTTGTAAGGGGGGTCGAATACAATTGGAATTTGGGAGTTCTTAGGGGAAAAGCAAACATGCATTTCGGATGAACCGTGCAACCATTATTTCTCCAATGGCTATTATACGCCAACTTTTATTTTTTTATAAAATAAAATTTATTTTTATAAAATATAATTTTTTTTTTTTTTTTTTTTTTACTGTGATTGGGGAATAAGAATTCTGTTGGGTACTTAGAAAGCATATACATTGGTAGCTCATATGTTGCATATTGTGATGATGACCTAAATAAGGAGATATTTACAAAGTGCAGCCACACCTGGTACAATGGTAACTTTACAGCCAAATGAGTTGATCAGAGGCAGGTGAATCCTCATTTTGGGGTCGCAAAGAACACGACTGAGAGACTGAACTGAACTGATCCTCATTTATTCATGAAAACATGAGACGGGTTAAATGACTTACCCAGGCTCTCACTACCAATAAGTGACAAAAGTAGGACTTGAATCTAAGCCGCAGTCTTAGACCAGTGTTCTTTCCACTGCTCTAGGCTGCTTGCATGTTTCTGCACTAGTTTTATAATGCATAGACCCATTCATTTGTGACGCAAGGCAGTTCCAGTGGGTCATGGGTGGCCTTAAAACAGACTTAAAACTCTTCAATTGTTCTCTAATTTCTGTCCTTGCCCTGGGTATTTTATCTGCACTCCATCTTGACCTCCTTCACACTGAATCCCAAATCTATATCTTCTATCCAATTTCTCCTGGCTTCTAACTGCTAAGTGCACATACCCATTGATCATTTCCATTGGATCCCCTATGGGAATCTCAAACTCAGCATCTCCTACACCACATATAACACCTTTCTTCGTGAACCTACTTCCCAGATCTCGTGATTGAAATTGTTATTCAGTAAGTTGCCCAGGTACAAACCTGGCTTGGTACCTCTTCTCTCACCATCTATAATCAGTTGATCATGGGTGAACGTGTTAGTTGCTCAGTTGTGCCCGACTCTTTTCGACCCCATGGGGCTCCTCTGTCGTGGGATTTTTCCAGGCAAGAATACTGGAGTGGGTTTCCATTCCCTTCGCCAAGGAATCTTCCCAACCCAGGAATTGAACCCAGGTGTCCTGCATTTAGGCAGATTCTTTATGGTGTGAGATATCAGGGAAGCCCTAATTGATGACTCAGTGCTGCCAAGTTCATCCCCCTTTGTTCTTTCATTTATGTGTCTAAAGATTGTAATAACTTCCTGCTGTCTCTTTGTAGCTTTGAGCTCAGCTTATTCCATCCCATTTTCCGTTTTGCTACAAAGTGATCTTTTCTACAGTCCAAATGTGATCCTGTCCCTCACTTACTTAAATCCCTTCAGGGTTTTTTATTATCGTCAATATAATTTCCAAAGTCTTTAGCATGGATTCGAGGTCCTGCCTTATGTTTTCCAAACCTCCTGGACCTTCCCCATCTATCTTCAAACTACTTTTTGTCAGAATGTGGTGCTGACCTCCATGAGCAGCACGGGAGTTCTGGTTAATAATGAACATGATGATGCTGAAAATGGCCTCTGCGCAGGTACCCAATCGAATCTGGGAGGCAGAGTTTTGGGTGAAGAAGAAAAGCATAGCTTTATCGCTTTGCCAGGCAAAGGGGGACACAGCGGGATTGTGCCCTCAAAACCTGTGTGTCTCAACTCTGGGGGACTTGGTGAGGAGTTTTATAGGAATGGTCTACCAGCAGGGTTGTTAATAAGGATCAGCTGTGCAGGGCCTGCTCTCCTTTAATCTGGCCTCAGGTGGGTTTCTGATGTGCTTCTGTGATTCTCAAAGTTATCACACTGTGACCTTCTCTGGGATGAAGAATGCTTCATCAAGTAATTAACGTGTTCCATTTGTTGGGGGTTTTACTTCTGGGGAAGAGTGCCAGGAATCCTGTTTATCACTTGAGGCAGAACCAGGACTTTGCCCTGCAAGGCTGCACTATTGCCTTGTTTTTGTTTTTTTAATTTCTCCTCCCTTGTCTCTGTATCCCCCTCCCTTCCCTGATTAGCAGCTGTTTGAACCTGCCCTTTGGAACTTGGGGAAGGTCAAGAAATGGGGGACATAGGCTTTTGTGCTGAGGAGCTTGACAGGTACTGCTCTGTTTCACTGACGGCCCGACCAGAATAAGTCAGAATCTCAGGGTCATGCCCAGGAATCTGGATTTTAAACAAGTTCTTTGAATTTTAACAAGATTTACACTAGAGTTTGAGAGGCCTTGTTCTCACCTTACATACTGATCCTGTTTCCTATCTACACCTGACGACACACTTGGTGTTTCTCTGATCATAGCTTTCTGTCATTGATGCCTTTGTGCGCAGAAGTCTCCTTAGCTGCTTTTTTGGTGTTTCTCCTCATTGTTCAAGACCAGGGTACATGTGATACCTTCTGGGAAGACTTCCCCAATCATGGACCACCCTGTCACCTCCAGTCCACATTAGGTCATTCTCGTGGCTTCTCACAGAGCCATGACTTAGCCCTCAACAGCCTTCCCCCTGTGTTACAACCATAAGTTATGTAATTGTTTTGTACTTGTGGCTTTCACAGTTGCCAGCACTTGAGAATAGAGACTTGTGCTTCTCTGCCTAGCAGCCAGCCCAGAGCCTAGCACGTTGAATGAATGAGCGCTCTCGGGCCAGATGGAGAGGCATCTAATTATCACATGTGCTTTCGGCTTCCTTTATGTGCCATCCTGCACTGCGGCCCTGATTCACAGGAAGGTGGGTTCCCTGGCACCAGTTTCACACGTGACTGGTGATAAGGATGTGTCTGGTCTTAGGAATTTTAACCAGTGGTGGCGGTAAAGAAAAAATTAAGTAGTGACACTTGTTAAAGACTGGTAAGACAGACTTCACTCCAGGGTGGGGAGAGGCATCTGGGTGGATGGAGAAACCACTGCAGGCATGGTCTTGGACTGAGGGGAAGAGCTTGGACTCAACCCTGACTCCAGTGAGGACAAATGGGCATTCATAGCCAAGGAGCAGGGTGGCATCAGTGGATGGAAAATTGCTAAAGAAATGTCAGGGGTAAAGGGGACTCTTACTAGGTGACCCAGAGAATTCTTGCTGAAGGCAGACCAGGGTGATAAGATATCCAGGGTGGTCAGATTCCAGTGGTGTGGATGGGAGATTTTCACTAAACTACGTTAGTAGGAGTCTTGCTCAAATTGGATTCTAAAAGGGCCTAGAGGGAAGCCCAAGGTAAGTCCTAGTCCAGCAGAACTCAGAGTCTGATTCAAGTTTCTGGTCAAGTAGAGAGTCCCTGTGGTTAAATGGAATAATAAAAGAACTAACTTGTGCTAAGTCACTTCAGTCGTGTCCAACTTTTTGCAAACCTGTGAACTGTAGCCTGCCAGGCTCCTCTGCCCATGGGATTCTCCAGGCAGGAATACTAGAGTGGGTTGCATTCCCTCCTCCAGAGGATCTTCCTGACCCAGGGATCGAACCCACATGTTTTACATCTCCTGCATTGGCAGGCAGGCTCTTTACCACTAGTCCTGCCAAAGAACTAGAATCAGCAAAAGCAGCTGTTCCCGTGTTGCCCCCACGCCCATCAGCATTGGTCTATTTACCTCAGTTAAAAAGGTTCTGTCTAGAAAATAATTTATCTTCAGAAAATTTAAAAAATACATTGTAATTTAAAACATAAATATCACCTGTTATCTCACAAGAGGGAATTACTACAAAGTCTCGTGTGTTTATTTCTGTTTTTTTCATTTATATTTGTGTTTGAACATAATTGTAAATGGCAATTACATAAGACTTTTAAATCCTGTTAATTTTACTTAAAATTATATTTTTTAGTTTTTTCTACATCAAAAATTCTTAGTGAAAAAAAATTTAATGTAGGTGGGGGAGAAGTGTTCCTTGACCCTCATAGGGTCTCTCCCTGGGTCTGGAAATTAAATTGACAGAGACAGATTAACAGGAGCAAAGCATGCAAGTTATCTAGTGTAAGTTTTACATGACATGAGAGCCTTCATAAGGAAATGAGGACCCAGGGGGTTGAATAGACCATCGTGGAGAAGCGTGATAGGGTAAAGAGTATGAGGTAATTGTCCAGATGGAAACCTTAGAGAGGCCTGTGTGTTAAGGAGTCTTTGTCGACAAAGCAAGCGCCTCTCACTGGAGGGTTTTATGATCTGTTTAAGAAACAGCAGTGTGGGGAGATGGTCAGAGTGACCTTCCTGCTTCTGCTATTTTCCAGACCTTTTCTGAGTAAGATATCCATTCTTACAATGTGCCATGTCTTGAACCCCATCTCATTCCACAGTTATTTATCAAATGGCTGTTATGCGCCAGATCTTTTTTGGACATGGGGATTCTGCAGTGAACCAGAGCAGTCAAAGTCCTTGCTCATGGAGTTTACATTCCAGTGGGATAGTAAACTAACACATACGGACAATCACATGATAAGTGTGGTTACTCATTGGATGTGGGTTTGGGTGGACTCTGGGAGTTGGTGATGGAGAGAGAGGCCTGGCATGCTGCGGTTCATGGGGTCACAAAGAGCCGGACACGACTGAGTGAACTGAACTGAATTACTTTACAATACTGTGGTGGTTTTTGCCATACACTGACATGAGTTTGTTTTTGAGTGTGCATGCTCGTTGGTTCAGTTATGTCCGACTCTTTCCAGCTCCATTCATTACAGCCCACCAGGCTCCTCTGTCCGTGGAACTTTCTAGGCAAGCATATTGGAGTGGGTTGCCACAAAGTTATGCTAATTTACCTTCCTTATAGTAGTTTGTGAGTGTCTGTCTCATTTTGTCATCGGTGAATACAATCATTTTAGAATTTTGTTCATTTTATAGGTGAATGGAGATAGTTCTTTGTAATTTGCGTGTCTTTGATTACCTTGGAAGTTGAGCATTTTTACAGTTATGTACATTTCCTCTTCATTGAGTTTTCTCTGTATGTTCTTTTATTGAGGGCCTGGTTGTTTTCTGATTTGAATAACCCTTTTACATCACTGATTTGATTACTGGTTTGATGATAAGCACTTTATATATAATGGATAAACATACTTTTGAACAGGTATAGTGACTGTAAAAAGAAAGCCAAGACAGGACTCCTAGAATTCCTTTCCTTTTCCTTCTAAGAAAAAGTGATGAAAGAAGAAAAAGTATTAAATCCATGGCTGATTCATGTCGATGTATGGCAAAAACCACTACAATACTGTAAAGTAATTAGCCTCCAACTAATAAAAACAAATGGGGAAAAAAAAAGAAGAAAAAGTATAGTTTAGGTGGAAAGAATTGAAGAAAGAAAGGAAATGTAGGTGGGCAGGTAAGAAGATGAAGTGTCTAGGAAGGAAAAGGAGGAAGGAAGGAAGACATGGAGAGGATGAAAGCGTAGGGCCCACATGATTCCCTGGATAATTATATTTTTCTTTTCTGCCTCTACTGATCTAGCAAATCCCTAAGAGAAGATGACTGTGTTCTTTAAAACACTTCGAAATCATTGGAAGAAAACGACAGCTGGGATCTGTCTGCTGACATGGGGAGGCCACTGGGTCTATGGAAAACACTGGTAAGCCTCTGACAGCGCCTCACCCCACCCCACCCCACCCCACCTTCACGGGCAACACGGAACAGCCCACAGGGGCCTGCGGATAAATTCTTGTTCAGCCGTGCTTGTCTCTGAAACGTTGTGATGTAAAAGGAAGGCAGATATTAAAACTTCAAACAGAGACGACGGTTCCTTGTAACCGGTCCTGAGAGGTGGAAACTGTGTAGAACTATTGACACTTATGCTTCAGTGGACACAGAATACCGCAGCAAGATCAGAGCAGGGAGAAACTGAGGGCCTCTCAGGAGAGAGGCAAGTGACCTTCCGAGCAATGGTAGAGGGTTGGAACTCACACATATCCTTGGGGTTTTAGTCCTCCTTTTCTCACTCTAGTCTCTTGATCTGTGTCGGTGACCATTGCCGGACACTGAGTCCGCTCCCTCTAGTGTCTGACTTGGACTTTTCTGTCTAACTCGTTAGCCTAGGTTCATTTAAATGAAACTAAGACTTTGCTACCTTTTGTTTGAGTAAGGGATTCCAGGGAGTCCTGGGTTTTATTACCCTTTAGGTTTGCAGGGAGAAGAAAGTGCCAAGCTTCTCTTCTGGTTTAACATGCTAATAAGATTTAAATAAACAATTTTTTAAAATAAAAGTTATACAGATTATTAAGAGACCCAGTCACACTGCAGTCTTTGGGGGATTCAGGGCTACTTCTTAAATATATAGCCACCTTCTCTAAAATCCAGGTGTCCTAATTGACCGGTTTGTTGAATGGAACACAGTGAGCAGGCTTTACAATGGAAAAGCAGACTCACGCTGGTCCTTTTGTGAGCATCCTCAATTCACCCATCAGAGATCATTTATGATAAACGTGGTATCTACTTTCTGCGGGTATGGAGAAGATGAACCATTCCCACCTCCTTTTAAGTATCTTCAAGGCTGAGCATATGAGCTCCATTAGCTAACATATGAAGAACAGACCCAAGAATCTTAAAATTTTAATATATTTTAAAAAAGGCAGAGGAAAGGTTTTAACAAATTGTGTCTGGAGCATATAATTATTTGGCTTTTCCTCCCTTTTCAAGCTACATTTGAGCCCTCGAGGGAAGGCTCCTTACAGCTCCAGCCAAGGTAGGAACTAGGATTTCCTTTGGAGGAGCACCCACTCCAGGCCCCAGCTGGCTCAGTGCGGGAGAACCTCCCCCTCGCTGAGGGTTATGGCTATTGCTACTGTGGGGTGAAGGTCTGAGGAAATAACTATGTCCTCTGTTCAGGATGTCTTTAAGGTACCATAGTTACTTCTCATAGTATAGTCTTGAGACTTTTAAAAAGGCCCCATTAAGTCTCTAGCACTGAGTCAGAGGCCTCATTCTCAGTTGGATCTGAAACAGCTTGAACTGGAAGTGTAGCAGGAGTCTGAAGGCTTCATTTTGCTACCTTTGACCTTCAGGGTCACTGCTTAGAATGCAGATCTCCATTGTTCTGCGTAGCTTGCTTTTCTCAACTTCTCTCCTGCATGCTGTGGTGTGACTTAGCACCCCCGCCCCTTTTAAAATATTGTGATAAAAATCACTAGCAAAAAATTTACCACTGTGACCATTTTTAAGTGTATGCTCAGTAGCATGCAGTATATTCATTTTGTCATACAACAGATCTCTAGAACTCTTTCATCTTGCAAAACTGAAACTCTGTGCCCATTGAACAGAACTGTCTCTTTCCTCCTTCCTTCCCCTTGCAACCACCATTCCACTTTCTGTAAGTTTGACTGCTTTAGATACTTCATGTGAGTGGAATCATGCAGTATTTGTCTTTTGTAACTGGCTTATTTCACTTAGCATGGTGTCCTTAAGGTTGATTGATGTAGCATATGGTAGGATTCCTGTCTTTTTTAAGGCTGAATTGTATGTTTAGACCACATTTCTTATCCACTTATCCACTAATGGACATTTGGGTTGCTTCCTCCTCTTGGCTGTTGCATAGTGCTAGTCCATTGGACTTGGGTGTTCAGATATGGCTGCAACATCTTGTTTTCAGTTCTTTTGGATATATATCCAGAAGTGGGATTGCTGGATTAATGGTATTTCTGTTTTTAATTTTTTGAGGAAGCTCCATACTGNGTTGTCCTTTTTAAAAAAAATCTATATATCCCCCAACTTTTCACGTAACAGTCCTAACACAATTTTTTATACTAATCTAGTTTTTTTTTCCCTGAGAAAATCTTCTCCTGAACTCTCTTGAGTAGGAGCTACTCTTACCTTCAAATGTGTTGGCATTCTCTTAGCTTCTCAGTACCTATTCCAAACCATTACTCTTTCATCATCTTATAAAAAAAACTCTTCTCCTTTGACGCTCATAATACCTGACTATATCATAAAACCATAAAAACCATAAACCTACCAGATTTCTGGAGTCTCATCTGTTGCACTAGACTCAGACTTCAAAGCCTGCCTTATCAATATCCTTTTCTCTTTAAGTCTTGTTATCTTTCTGAATGCCCTGAGTGTTTTATGTGAATGACCCATCCAATAGCACCTTGTCTTTCCTTTCCCTGACTTCATCTATTCCTGTCACTGTAAGCCTTTGCCTCTTTCAACATCCATTCTCATTGGTTGAATGCTGAACCTTATTATCACTTGTCCCTGTTCCTCTCTTGAAATACGGAACTTCGGCATCTGAATCTTTCATGTCAGCCTTCTGTTATACCAATTTTCTTTCTTTTCTCCCCTTTTTCAGTGTTATCAACTTCTTGTCCCTTGGGCCCTCCATTTTCTTCCCAATCTATCACTCATTCCTGCCTTCTTCACTTTCTTCTGTCCTTGGTTCCTCTATCCAACGTATTATACAGCTTCTCAACACCATTTTTCATATGTTCTCCCTGGCCTTTTCACAATCTCATTTCCTCCTCCTCTTCTAAGTTAAACTTTTTGAATAGATTCCCTCTGCTTCCCTACCTCCTGCCCATACTACATCCTGTCTGGTCTTCATTAGAATTAGTCTTGCCAGTTTTATTCCTCATCCTTTTTGACTGCTCAGCTTTAGACACAGTTGATTCTTCTTGAAACATTTTTTTTCCTTGACTTCTGACTGCTAGAGTCCTGTTTTCTTCCTACTTTTCTAGCTGTTTATTCTCACTTTTCACTTCTCCCTTCTTCTCAGACATTAGAGAAGCATTAATAGTTCTCTGGGACTCTGTCCTAAGGGCTTCCCTTGTGGTCAGATGGTAAAGAATCTTGCCTGGAACACAAGAGATCCAGGTTTAATCCCTGGGTTGGCAAGATGCCCTGGAGAAGGGAATTACAACCCACTCAGTATTCTTGCCTGAGGAATTCCATGGACAGAGGAACATGGCGGGCCACAGTCCATGGGGTTGCAAAGATTTGACCACTACTGAGTGACTTTCACACACACACACACACACAGGACTCTGCCCTAGGTCCTATGCTCACTTTATACCCTTTCCTTATACAGTCACATCCACTTGCAGTGGTGTCACTGTCAGCTATAGATGGACAAACCCAGGTTCATATTTCCATAAAGACCTCTTCTTTTGAGCTCCAGACCTCTGCATGTATTCAACTGCTTACAACTTGTCTCCTTGGATAATTCCCAGGTGCCTCCAAACTCAAAAGACTAAAAATAAAAGCTTTCCTGGCAAGCCTGTTCCTTTTCAGTGATTGGTACCACTCATCATCCATGTAGTTTCCCAAACTGAAAAGTTGAACATCATTCTCCATTCATCCTTCTGTCTTATTTCCCACATTCAGGTTATGGCATTCTAAGTGACTTTGCTTCTTTTATATCAACTTTGTTCAGTTTTCTTTTGTCCTTCCTCACTGTCACCACCTTTGTCTTTACTACCATCATCTCTGGCCTGGATTCTTACTAAATGCCTTCTGACTGTTCTCCTTGCATCTACTCTTGCCTGCTTCTAAGGTGCTTTGCACAACACTGCCAGTACCATACTGTCTTAATTACTGTAGCTTTGTAATATATTTTGAAATTAGTATTAGACCTTTAACTTTCCTCTTCTTTTTCAAAATTCTCTTGGCTATTCAGGGCCCCTTGAGATTCCATATGCATTTTAGGATGTTACTGACAAATTCAAACTTTTTGGCCAGCCCAATTCAGGTCTTCCAAAATGCCATGTCCCATTTCTTTTAGGGTCCCTTGGAGGGCCTCCAGGAGTGTCCCCTCCTGGAACACTCTTCCCTTCCCTTCTTCCCCAGCCAACTACTATTTCCCAGGTCTCAAATATTACTTCTTCCCTGCCCCCTCCAGACTAGGCAGTCTTCTCATCATTCTCTCCATAGTACCATGAACTACTGTGTAATTGTTGTTGTTCAGTCGCTTAGTTGTGTCTCTTTGCAACCCCATGGACTGCAGCATCTTTCGCTACCTCCCAGACTTTGCTCAGATTCACATCCGTTGAGTTGGTGATACGATCTAACTATCTCTTCCTCTGCCACTCTCTTCTTTTGCCTTTGATCTTTCCCAGCATCAGGATCTCTTCCAATGAGTCAGCTCTTTGCATCAAGTAGCCAAAGTATTGGAGCTTCAGCTCCATTATCAATGCTCCCAGTGAATATTCAGGACTGATTTCCTTTAGGATTGACTGATTTGATCTCCTTGCTATCCAAGGAACTCTCAAGAATCTTCTCCGGCACCACAATTCAAAAGCATCAATTCTTCAGCGCTCAGCCTTCTTTATGGTCCAGCTCCATGTAGTACTTGTTACTATTGTAGTTTTTTTGTTCTGTTTGTTTCTTCTATCATAAGACTCTGCAGTCAGGGGCCCTGTTTGTCTTTCTCAATGTCATCCCCAAGGCCAACACATAGAAAGTACTTGACATATATTTTATTTATCGAGGAAGAAAAAAACAAAAGAGAGAAGGTCTGAGTTCTCAGAGAGCAAAATCTCAACTGTTTTGATGGGCTACTTCTGAATTCACAAACCCAGGCTTTTGAATATCCTCCTGAAGAAAATGATACATTCAAGCCATAGTCAGGTTACTCTTCCGTCT